GACCACACACCAGCGGGGGCAGGGGGGAACAGGACTGTGTAAGAGGATCGGGGATGAGGTGATGTTCGAGGGCTCTTCCTCCTGCTCTTTTACTTCCTCCCTTCTCCTGCCTATTCCCGCATCCTCCTCCTCCTCCTCCTCCTCCTCCTTCCTCGCCTCCCTCCTTCTCCACCTCCCGCCCGCGGTCGCCCTGGGAGCGCCCCGGACGAGGGGGTGGGGGGAGCCAGGCAGAGCACACAGAGGTGGCCAAGTATATACTTAAGTCGGGCCTGTCCCTAGACAGGGAAACTATTCAAACATAGTCAACAAATCGTCTGGGAACGATGTGTTGACAATGTTTGCGTAGCTTTTGGGCATTCTTGGAGTATTTTGAAGTTGTCATCCAAAATCCGCCTGCAGGGGGACACGCCCGACCTAACTATAGACAGGAGCATAACATGTGGGAGTAACAATCTTCCTGACGCCCTAGGGTGGCTGGGCGTGACAGTTGTCTCAGGGTGGCTTGGCCTTGACGCCGACCCCTGGTCCGTACCATTTCGGCGCGAGCCTGCCCCGATTTAGCCTCCCTCCTCGGCAAAAGTGGGACCGTCTGGAGCCCGCCCTTGGCAGACCCAGCTGCGGACGGGGAAGAGCCCGTCGACGAGCTTGCCGCGATGGGCCCGACCGATCCGGAGCGCGCAGGCACCAACAGCCTCGGCGCGACTTGTTTCGCGCGGGCTGTCCTCACTGACCCAGCGGCCAAGGACGCGGCCATGCAGGCGCCGGGCATTGCAGCTGGGTGGCCAGTTGCTCCACTTGGCGGACATCGACGAGGGGGGCGTCAATGCTACCGTTAAGTCGGGCGTGTCCCTCTACAGGAGGAGTGTTCAAAAATACCCCAAAAATAGTACCGGGATGATTCGTTTGACGATTTTTGACAATGCGGTATTGTTTTTGTGATTATTTTCAATGAATCGTCCAAAATTTGCCTGTAGGGGGACATGCCCGACCTGGTGCTACCGTGAACGCGTGGGTTGCCAACGTCGACGCCACCACGATCACCACGCCCTCGGCCGCCAGCAACTGTGGCGAGCTCGCAGCGCCTGGCGCGTCGCCGCGGCCATCGGCGGCACGCGCGCCAGCGTCGTCCAGCAGCCGCTGCGGCTTCTCCAGCAGCCCGCGGCCGGAGACCCCTGGGGCAGCGCCGTCGGGCTCGACGCGGTCGTGGACCAGGCCCTCTCCAGGGAGGTTCCTCGACGGACGAGGGCCCAAGGATGTTCCATCGCGTGCAAGAGGCGCACGGGGGCCATTCGTTAGGGAAGAGTCCCAGGAGGCGCCAGACCCTGGAATTTTCCTTTTATCCAACGAGGGCGGCAGTGATGTCCGTGGCCGATTCACGATTGGAGTTCCACTGGCTTCCAGACACTGGATTCCTTATCGAAGGTTTCCTTGTCCAATGCCACCACCGTATACCAGGCCGGCGTGCGGGTGCGCCGCGAATACATGCAAGCTCTCAGGCGCCCCGCGCTCGAGCAGCTCGACGCCGATCCCGCGGCCGCGGCCAACCTCGGCATCACCCGGGAACCCATGATGTGGGAGCATCTCGAGACCGTGGCGGTGGACTCGTGCGACCGCTTCTGGCAGAGGCAGCTGGTCGAACCCGCCGTCCTGGTGCTGCCGCACTCCAGCCGTCTTGGCGCCACGGTGCCAGGCGACGCGCAGGTCGGCCACGCGGCCGCGGCTCCCGTCGCGCTGCCGGGCGGCCCGAGGTCGCCGACCCAATCGTGCCTGCCGCTGGCCGGTCGATGCGGCGGTCGCCGCGCGGAGGGTCCGCGCCAACACAGCGTTGGCGAAGACGGCCTGCTCAAGACGAGCTTTCTGATGCTCCAGCCTACTTTAGCCTTGATCACCAGGAAGAATTCCGAGCGGCCAAAAAATACCGAAACTCAGGGGTTTCACGTGTCGGGCCCTTGGAGACAATCGCCCGACACTGTTTCGACACTGTTTCGACACTCTTTTGACACTTTTCTGGGTGCTCGATCGAAATTATTTCTGGGATGTGGTCCTTAAGTAGGATGGGAACAACATACGACGAGCCGCAGCAGCGAACCCTTGGGCCGCCCGTTCCAGGCAGGCGGAGCGCGTCCGCGCTGCGGGCGGCGCGATGGTCTCAGGGGCAGTTCACTCGTGCATCATTGCCCAGAGCCCCCGACGTCATGATTTCTTCATGGCGTCGACCCCCAGAGGTCTCGACCCTTTCCCCCGGGACCGGATTTTCATCCTGACTCTGTTTTTCAAGTTCCCGAGGCCCAGTAAGGGCACCCAGAGGCCGAACATCGCGAAACACCCCCCGTCTTGATTTTTCATGACTCGAGGGGGTCTGGGGTGCGCGAAGTGTCTTTCGCCTGCGCGCGGCGCAGCAGCGTGCGGCAACCACGTCGGTAAGCCCCGGGGAACTCGGGCAGAACGGCGGCAACAAGGGCTGCCGCCGTGGCGGCGAGGGCGGGGGTGGCCGCGGCCCCTGCCGAATGGGTTGGGCGGAGAGCTAGCGAGGGCCCCCAGCTCGCAAGCGCCCGACCGCCAACTCTGGCTGGGAAGAGGAGCCGCAGCGGGAATCCCAAGCTCATCGGGCGCATTGGTAGCCCGCGGATCGCCAGCCTCATCCGTCGGGAGCCGCGCTTCTCGGCCGTCTTCGGCCAGGTGCCCGGGGCTCCCGCCGCAGGCCGTCTTCAGCTGGATCCTTTCAGGCGCGTGAGCATGCCAGCCGGCAGGACAGGATCATGACCCTCTTGCCCTCGTCTTGTCGCTCTTTTGTCCGCCTGCCTTCTCGTCCCGTTCGGGTGAGTCTACTCCCCCTCCTCCTCCTCCTCCTCCTCCTCCTCCTCCTCCTCCTCCTCCTCCTTCCGTAGCCATTTTGGCTCAAGATGATGGTGCCTGCGGCGTCCTTCATGGATACCGCTAGTCCGCGGCTAGTCCCCAAGCTTTTGCCGCCACAACCACGGGCGTGCGGCAGCCCACTGCTCATCCTGCTTCTCACCTTGGCATTGCAGGCTGCCATACATATCGGCTCGACCGAGCCCTTCATGTCGCTCGTCGAGCCCAGCTCCGAGCACTTCATATCGCCCGCCGAGCCCTGCTCCGAGCACTTCATATCGCCCGTCGAGCCCAGCTCCGAGCACCTCATATCCGACGCCGAGCTGTGCTCCGCGTCCCAGGCCTCCGCCGTCGAGACCAGCTCCGAGCACGTCATCCCCGCCGTGAACGTTGCCCGTCCCGAGTTCTGCCGCCAGCATCTCCGCCAACCGCGTATTGGCATCGCAGCCGCCCTGGTCATTGGACAGCTGTACAACAGCCGCTCATTGGACCTGCCCTACCGTCCGCTACAATGTCGTCAAGCAGTGATGAGAGATCGACGTCCCGCAGCGCTCCGACACGCAGAAGGAAAGAACGTCGCCTTGGACGCCAAGACAAAGATCGAGATGACAAATGTTCCCGTGCCTCAGCTGCCAAGGTTACACTCGACGTCATGGGAGAAGCTGGCGTCGCATCGCAACTCGTACGTGCTTCAGGGAGAGCCTCGGCGCCACCTTCACGTCCTGGTCGCTCGTCTGCGCGCCCGTCTACTCCGCCAACGTTTGCGATGGATGCCGACGACCTTCTACACCGCGGTGATGTCGCTTGCCACGCAGCGGCTGCCCCCGTTCAAGCTCGCGATGGACAAGGGAATGCTTCGCCCCCCCAACCTCTTGCAGTCGAGGCAGCTCCAGCCGCTGGAGGACACCTACATGCAGACCCACTGGCTGGAGATCGTGACCCTTGGCGTGGCCAACACACCGCTGGACGCACGTCCGCCGTCGGAACCGCCGCCGTCCCTCATGGTTGGGACATACCAGCCTCAGTCGAAGCTGCTGGAGGTACTGCCACGCCTGGATCGATCCCAAGCATCTCAGGCTTGCCTCCTGATGTCGAAGCTGCCCTTCAACAAGTCATGCAGACTCAAGTCGAACACGCTGCCACCTTCCAAGCCCAGGCCAACGCTCTTCTCAATGAATCACGTGAAAGTTTTCTCCAAATTCTCGCACAACAAGTCATTGCTACCGAGCGCCGAGTGGATGTTCTACATGATGCCGTCGCACGCACCCGCCGTGAACAAGACCGACAAGCCGACGAGCAGAAAAATATGTGGCCGCAGATCGACCAGATGCGTGACACGCCCGCGCTCGCTGAAGCTCAGGCGCCCATCGCGGACCTCACCAAGCTTGCTGACTGGGACCGCGCCCCCGACCCGACCATCTTCTCCATCGGCTGCCAGCGCCTCATCGCGCCCGACATTCTGCTCAACGACCTGCAGGGGTGGATCGCCTCCGCCAACGTTGACCGCAACGCCGTGGAGTTGCTGGGGGACGAGCCGTCCAGACGCTTCCTTCTTCAAGTCAAAGGAGATCGTGCAGCCGCAATCCCGCGAGCTCTCGCCCTTTCACGTGCCCTGCGAGATCCCGCTGGCAGGTGGAAGCGCTTTGTTTCCACCGACACGACAGGTGCCCGAGTGGATATCTACCTCAACCCCGACAAGTCTCCCAAGCAGATCCGCACCGAGATCCAGTGCAAGAAGCTCCTGCAGCTGCTCCAGCATCGTTACCCCGACAAGCCGTGGAGAGCCATCCGCACCAAGGGCGAGATCCATTGCAACGCCATGCCTGTTGTACGCCTCGACGTCAAGGGCCAGGCCGACCCCGCCATCCTCGAGTGGAACGAGCACGCGTTCGAAGGCCATCACTTCAACGAAGTGGATCGCGGCGGCGTCCTCACTGCGTTCCAGGCGCTCTTCGCGGACACTGCGTCAGCAACGTGGCGGGTTTAACCATCCCTGGTCGCCTTGGCGACCGAACGAGGACCCCGTCCCCAGCACCTTCATTACTTGGAATGCCAGAGCCCTCATGTGTCACAAGCGCCAGCGCCGCCGACGCAAACAGGCTGCCCTGCTGAAGTACATGCGCCGCCAATGCGTCATCCTCATCCAG